TATATATATATATATATATAGTGGCTCTTCGTGTGTAGCCTAAAGATCGCTGGGGTAAGAGGGAAAGAAAGCGCACTCATTAAAGTTTCTGTTTGTTGGCGGTAGTCTTTATTCAAGTCGGTCTTCTCCTTTTGCGCAACCTCCAAAAGGCGATTGAATTCATCATTCTGCGCCGAATCAAGAGGTAAAAGACAGCGAAGACAATATGTGCTAGAAAGGAAGCAAAGAGCTCTGTTCCTGTAACACTCATAAGCTCTCTAAGAATGGGCGTGACTTGTCTGTACTTGAGATGAGATCTTGTCAAGTAGCGCATCTCTCTCGTGGGTTACATCCATCAGATGCTCCTCCTTATCTGCGAGAAAAACAAGCACAAAACAAGTGCTCGCCATTAGAACGTCTCACAGCTTTGTGGGACTTCTTAACGTCGCATGCTCACGTTGCAAGCAGCCCCAGGCCTGCTTACCACGTAGTAGTGCTCGAAGGCGCTCGCGCTCCTGCCGCTCCGAATCCAGGGCTGCCTGTAGTTGGCCAGCTTTCTCGCGTTCGCAAAGTTGCTGCTCCTGCTGCAGCTGCAACTGACTATGTTGGTGCTCGACCGTCGTGAGGCGCTCGATTAGCTGCTGTTTTTCTGTTCGCATCCTTCTAAGGGACAACACTGCGTCGTTGACCTCCTGACAAAAATGTAGCAGGCGCGCACGCTCACATACTGAAGTAGTCGACTGTAGCAAATATAGATATTAAAAGTAAGGGAATGAACACAGCACTCCGTGGGTTCTCAGAGATGGGCGCCTTCCCGGTAGGCAGGTTATTTGCACCGCCCACCAGAGGTGATCGAATATAACAGCGTTCTCCCTCTTATATCAACATCCGAGCTGAAGTGACTTACCTCATTTCTTTTGTCGCGCTCAACAAGTATTCGGTCCACACAGTCGACTGCTGCTGCATTCACGTGCCGTAGTTGCTGCACGTCCTTCTTGGAAACGACCCCACGCTCAACAACTTCCCCGGCAAATATCAGCAAATGCCGCAGCTGCGAGACTGCACAAACGGATGTGACACCACAACCTATCAGCTGTTACGTAAGTTGTCCACCCTGACTACTGTTGCACAGACATGCAGATTCACTTGATAACTTACAAGGGTCGTCAGAGTCTATCCCTTTTAAAATGTGCGAGGCATCAAAATGTTCCGATTCAGAAACCTCTCGATATGTTTGACCTTCCGAGCCTCTTTCACATCCACCTACAGTAGAACTTGAAATATCATTTCTGCTTGCGGCACGGTCTTGAAGATGCTTCCGATGTTCCCGTAAATGTTCTCTATCCCCAGACTCCTGCCACCGCCCATGCGTCATAGGAGGGCTGTAGCTACCATCCACATTTCCACTTTCCCTATTAGCAGAACCCGATATACGTCTGTGCACGTTCTGTCCAACTGCTTCATCATGCCTGAGCCCAGCAGGAATGCCAGCCACGGCATGTGCAGCTGGCTCACAGCTTGCATCAGAGACACCGCTTCTGATCCTCCATGCATCGGAGTGCACAGCATGTTCAGTTTCTTCCTGCTCGACTGCCTTGCCAACACTGGATGGATCCCCTTCCGAGTGTTTCATTCCTGCGGGTTCCTGCCTTAGATAGCTCTTAAGAAATCCAAAAACCATCATGGAAAGCTCAGTAATTGAAAGAACAGAATTTGACTCCAGTAGCGCTGTCTCTCTGTACACTTCATCCCAAAATAGACTTGAAGCACAGCTATCACCCCCTTGGCAGGATCCTTCGTCGCGCCTAGTGCCTTCCGCATTTTCCCTGCTATGACGGGACGTAACTGCCTTGTTCGTCTGGTCAATTATGCGTAGAACCTCGTCTCTCGAGAGCAGCACGCTGCTTGTGGGTCCTTGGTGCTTGTTGATGGCCTCAGCAAGCAGACCATCCCTGCGAATAGTCAGGAAAGCGATAATAATAAACCTTCTGGAAAACTGACAACCGTATGGGTCCGAATTCGCACAAGCTATAGCAAACTGTAATGATGTGGAGTAACGAGCACACCTGCTGGCAATTCCTACCTGAAAATTTGCAATCCATAAACCTTATCGTCTACATGCGAGGCCGGCTCTCGGATCCCCAGCAATTCGAGGAGATTCTCCATCCCTGCGAAGAACAATTCGCCGGGATACATAAAGGGGTGAATACAACGATCAACAACAGTCAACAGTTGGAATTCAACTCAGGAATATCAGATGCTGACCTGACCAGAAGCTGAGGAAATTTATTTCTCCATTGTTATCTGCTTCAAAGCACTTCTTGATTAAGTCTTCGATTTCCTCCTTGTCCATCGGCGCTGCCTGCAAAGAGAGCATAAATGGAAGTGCTGAATTTTCATCCATAGGCTCATATATTGACACTGAATGTGGATGCTGGTGGACTCAGCAGCCCAGAGCAATTGAACAAACGGTAACGTACCATCAGCAGGTGCTGCGTCAGCAGCTGCTGCTCTGCCTCTAAGCGCACAAGAGGCCAGCCGCTTCCGCGGCAACTGACGAATAGCTCCAGCACTGCGTGTATTTCGTCCATAAACCCTAGTAGGTCTGCGCGTGCTGGAGCATGTTACGGCAGAAAAATGATGTTCTCATGGCACCCAATGGACCAGCTGCACCGCGAAATCAGAAGCTGTGGTGCAACAGTGGCAACGGCGTTGACTCTTTCGTTCGGCAAAAAGGGATCTCAACAACCAATTAATTACACCGATGTGGACCTGATTAGTACGGCCGAGATCGTAGCGTGTTTGCAGTTGGGAAGCTGGCTGTCCTCCACGCAGGCACAATGGAGATCCACCGCTCATGAGATCAGCGCCTTCAGCTCCTGCTTAGAGGTATCATGCAGTTAAGGGTGGCCAGATACTTCTTTAGGCAGATGATGAGAGGCACTGTATTTACTGCTGTGTAGCAAGACCGCAGTGGGAAGGTACAGTGGTAGGAGTAGGAGTAAGTTGACGGGAATACAATCTCGGGTCTCAAATTTAAGAAACATCGAGCCACAGTACTAACATGAAGAGAGTCAATAAAGGATATAAGACGCCTAAGACAGTGGCTAGGAGGCAAGTTTTGTTTGTTGTCAATCCTTCTAAATAAACACAAGAAGGTAGCGGCAAATTCATTGCAGCAGACCCTTTCGCCCGCGCCCAGCCATGAGGCTCTT